ACACTTTAATTCAGCTCCCCAAGCATTAGGTCCACACCTCAGCTTTCAGAACGCATTTCCTTTCATACCATAATTCCCCAGAGACGAGTCAAACAATTGAGTAGGTGTTCTCTTCTGTTTAAATTCTTGGTGGACCAGACCATTCGATCAGCACACAGCGGTGAGCACCCATATCCAATAATGTCGTTCTATATCATAGAAACAGGAGTGGCCATTCAGCCTGTCCTACCATTCTATAAGATCATCGCTGACCTGTAACTCAACACCAATTACCTGCCCTTGCCCCGTACCTTGACCTAAAATATATACAAATATATACTTGGTTGTTCACAGGCGCCTTGGATTGGGGGGGGGGGGAGAGCGAGGAGGAAACTTGGGCTAATTGTGTAAAGCTAACCAGAAACCGATTCAATGATTTCCAGATTAGCAGATGTTTTGCTACATAACAAATTACACATGTGTGTGACACACATTGAGACAAGTCACCATGATACATGATATGCAAATGTGAACAGTTTAGTCATACAGCACTTCTCACATTGGAGAAAGTGAAACCACTTTATAGACTGAACACGGGGCGGGTGGGTGTGGAGGAAGAAAGGAAGAAAGAAGTGGCCAAAAGATAGGTCTTCAGGCAGGATTGAAAAGCAGAGAGGTATTTCAGAAGATTTCTAGACAGAAGGGAGACAAATGGAAATGCCGAGCTCAGGAAGCCCTCCCAAACTGACTCATTACTGGGATATGCATCGGGACTTCTGAAACGCATTTCATGCTGCATTTGAACCTGAGTCCCAAGTGTGCAAAGGCATTTGAACCCAAGTTCCAGATGTGTAATGCCTCTGCACACCTGGGATCAGGTGCAAATGCAGCATGAAATGCGTTTGAGAAGTCCTGATGCATATCCCAGTAATGTGTTCTCCTGAGTTCAGTGCACCACACAGGTGATCATGCTACACCTTAACCTAGACAATCCTCCCACTTTATAACACGTGTGTTGTGACTGTCTTATTGATCCCCAGTCTTCTCTGCAATGGCAACATGACAATAGCTTGACAAATCACGTATCATTACGGGTTTCCAGTGTGCTCTCAATTGAAGTTGTTTGACTTTTCTGTGACTGTTTGACACTATCCAGTGCTACTCACCAGTGGCCACTATTGATTCACGAGCGAGAGATGACCATACAATTGTTTGGACATCACAAAAGAAGGAGCGAAAAGCATTCACTTACAAAATAGTCACTACATGTTACAGAAAGTCGTGTGAAGCGCATCAAGAAGGAGATGAAAGGCAAATTCAAGGATTATTAATATTTTTAAAAAAATTGACATACAGCATCGCCCATTGACCGTGTTAAATTGTGATGTTTCTATGGCTGGACAGGCTGCCCATCACATAGTAACATCCTCCACAATGATGATAGCAACTGGGAGGTTCCCAAATGCCCAGTCAATATAAAACCTGCATTTATATAGCGCCCTGCACATAAGTTAGCACTTTGGACCTCTCGCCTCTTGAAATACATTCAGGAGAGGAGGAACCCAGCAAAGGACAAAGAACTGTTTTTAGTGACGAAACGTTTTCACTGGTTAACCAATCGTTAACAAGAGGACACAAATTTAAGATGAATCATTAAAGGAATTAAAAGAGAGGTTGAGAAGAAAATCTTTACCTAGAGGGTGGTCAGAATGTGAAATTCTCTGCCACAAACTATAGTTGAGGCAGAATCCATTAATGCTACTGAAAGGGCATGAGGATAGAGGGATAATAATGTTTCATACAGCTATAACATTGAAACACCAGTGCAAGCTGAGCAGCCATTTCTGCGATGTGACATTTGAGGATTTTCTGATCACCTGTAGAAAGCTTTTTGCCTCTACATATTGACCATCCATCCCTTTGGCAAATAGTCACAACAGTACCGAGCAGCAGTTACCAGGGCTCGCTATCACAAGTTCACACGCACCAGGACCGACTTGTCTCCAATGATACGTCAATGAGCCAACCGGATCACTGGCATACTGCTGTGATCAGTATATCAGCAAATGCAATGGAAACCAAACAGCCCCTGCACCAAATGACAGGCACAAAATAAATTATGCAAAAGAATTGCATTTACAGGCAACGCTTAACCGTAAGCCACCATCGTACATGTAATAATAACTGTTCAATATGATTGACAGCAAAGGGGTTAATGGTTCCCTCCAATGGTCTAATAGATAAAGATGTGCAGCACTGGATCCATATGGTCCAGACGACAAGGTCAAACACTCGAAACTCAGGCTGCACTCTTCTCGACGAGGGCAGCCGTTGGGAGTTCCAATTTGCCCCAGTGCCCCTGCCTTGGGGGAAGAAGAGAGGCACAATCTGCCAGGGACCCTGCTCCTCCTCCTGATTACAAACTAATCATTGGCATTGTAAAAATTAGATTCAATAAAAACTCCTAGCATATGATATTGTGTTATCATATTGTCGAAACCTCTCAAAGTGCTCGACAGGTTTTACTGTTGCACGTAGCAACTGTATTTTGTAGGCAAACGCAACAGCCAATTTGCACACAGCAAACTGGAGAAATTGGCCAGGGTGGGAGGAATTCCATCCTCTTTCCAAATAGCGCCACGAGATCTTTAATATCAACCTGAACAGGCAGACAGGACCTTGCGTAAACCGTCTCATTTGAAGGACGGATCAGAAAGTTAACAGCTATTAGAGCAGTTGGGCTGGATCCAAGCAGTGCGTAAGTATTCAAATCCCAAACAATATAATCGCACTGGGATCTTGAAACATAATCAGCGAGTTCCCAGGTTCAGACCAGTAATTTAAACAGGTGAAAGTAGCTGACAACTGTCTGCCTGTGATCTATTTACATCTCCATCCAGCGAACCAGGTAATAATAATCTTAAAAAGTTACAGACCCGCGTTACTGAAAATATAACTCACAAGTATCTTAAACGTGTCTCAACAAAAAAGAGCGAACACCAATAGGCTTTTAGAAAAATGAAAATTGAATAGATTGGTAGAAAGCATTCAAGCGAAATGTGCCCAAAACGCTTCCAATATCCAAAGTAACTGGAATAAGCTGAAAAGGTGGGCTGCTGAAGGATTCTGATCCTCCCTTTCCTCTGGAGTTTATGTGTAGGAGCGCAGAACCTCATCTTAAAGGTATTTTGCAGGTTTCTGCCTGGAACCGGGTACAGTGGAGAGGGAGAGACCTAAGACAGAGACACCAGAGAGTGAGTGGTGGGGGAGAGGGGGGGACACCAGAGAGTGAGAGTGGTGGGGGGGACACCAGAGAGTGGTGGGGGAGAGGGGGAGAGACCAGAGAGTGGTAGGGGAGAGACCAGAGAGTGGTGGGGGGGACACCAGAGAGTGGTGGGGGAGAGGGGGAGAGACCAGAGAGTGGTGGGGGGGAACACCAGAGAGTGGTGGGGGAGAGGGGGAGAGACCAGAGAGTGATGGGGGAGAGACCAGAGAGTGGCGGAGGAGAGGGGGAGAGACCAGAGAGTGGTGGGAGGAGAGGGGGGAGAGACCAGAGAGTGGTGGGAGGAGAGGGGGAGAGACCAGAGAGTGATGGGGGAGAGACCAGAGAGTGGCGGAGGAGAGGGGGGAGAGACCAGAGAGTGGTGGGAGGAGAGGGGGGAGAGACCAGAGAGTGGTGGGAGGAGAGGGGGGAGAGACCAGAGAGTGGTGGGAGGAGAGGGGGGAGAGACCAGAGAGTGGTGGGAGGAGAGGGGGGAGAGACCAGAGAGTGGAGGAGAAGGAGAGAGAATAGAGAGTGGGATGAAAGCAGAGAGAGAGAGAGAGAGAGAGTGGAGGAGAAAGAGAGAGTGGGAGAGAGCAGAGAGTCGAGCGCTGCTCTGAAGTGTCGGTGCAGACACACAGGGGAAGTGGAGTGAAGAGCCAGACACCAGATTAAACACACACGGGGGGGAGGGAGGGAGGGAGGCAGACAAACCACATACACACGGCAGGGAGCCGCTCGTCTCTCCGCCCCCCCCCACCACCACCGCCCTCCGAGCCCCCGACAAACAACAGTTTACAAGAGATCAAAAGTGGCGGAGGCGCTGCTGCTGCTCTCACACACACACACACACACTCGCACTGAGCCGAACTTGGCCAAGATGGTCACCTCGGCCGAAGCCCCCGAGCCCGAGAGCGCTGCTCTTGACTGACTGACTGACTGACTGGCGGGAGGGAGGGAAATGGGGTCGAGATTCCCGACCACCAGGAGCCGACACACGCCCCGGGGACGGACGGGGGGTTCGGTGACCCACGTCGCCGTGTTACCGAGAAAAAGTCAGTCGCTGGTTTCACAGGGAGAATACAGACAGCCCCCACCCCCCTCCCTCACACCCCCCTCAGCCCTCACCCCCCTCACACCCCCCTCAGCCCTCACCCCCCTCCCTCACACCCCCTCAGCCCCCACCCCCCCTCAGCCCTCACACCCTCCCTCAGCCCCACCCTCCTCCCTCACACCCCCTCAGCCCCACCCCCCCTCAGCCCTCACCCCCCTCCCTCACACCCCTCAGCCCTCACACACCCCCCTCAGCCCTCACCCCCCTCAGCCCTCACCCCTCAGCCCTCACCCCTCAGCCCTCACCCCTCAGCCCTCACCCTCAGCCCCCCCTCAGCCCTCACACCCCCCTCAGCCCTCACACCCTCCCTCACACCCCCCTCCCCCTCACACCCCCCCCCCTCACACCCCCCTCAGCCCTCACCCCCCTCAGCCCTCACCCCCCTCCCTCAGCCTTCACCCCCCCTCCCCTCAGCCCTCACCCCCCTCAGCCCCTCACTCCCCCCTCAGCCCCTCACCCCCTCACACCCCCCGGAGCCGCGCGCCAGCCCTGCAGGTAACGGTCGCCTCGCGGGCGACGAGACTAACCCCCGCGCGCGCGCGCGCGCCTCGCCTCAGCTCTCAGCTCTCAGCTCAGCCTGGACTTCCCCTCTCCTCCTCCTCCTCTCCTCCTCTCCTGCCCGCGAAACAGCGGCCAACTACTTACTGATCTCCATACTCTGGAACAAAGAGCGCTTGCAGTTGCACGTACAGGAGACATTGTTGGCTGGTTGCTGGCTGGTTGTGGCTGTGCTGTTCAGACCCATCAAGTTGTACATTTAACAGGAAAGGGGAACGAGAGTGGAAGAGGAGAGAGAGAGAGAGAGAGAGAGGGAGGGAGAGAGAGAGAGGGTGCGTGGGGTCGGGAGGGGTGTGTGTGTGTGTGGGGGGGGGGGGGGGGGGCGGAGAAAAAAAAAACACCCCACACACGACGGGAGGAAAAATATATTTTTAAAACAAAAAGGAAGTTTTTTTTTGAAAAATAAAATAACACCGCCCGGTGGTGGTGGTGGTGGTGAGTGGGCGGAGGGGAGAGAGACCGAGAGAGAGAGAGGTGGGTGGGTGGGTGTTGGGGAGGGGGGATGGGGAGGGGGGGAGGGGGGGGGAAACGAGGGCGACGAGGAGGAGACTTGGCCCCCGAGAGGTCTCAGCGGGGAGAGGGCATGGTGACGGCTGCCGGGTCGGAGGAGGCTCCCTGTGCTGCCGGCCAGTGCGGTGCGCGGCGGCGGCGGCGGCTGCGACGACTGTCTGCGGCTCTGATGCCTCACTCACTCACTCACTGACTGACTGACTCTCACAGGGAGACACACCAGTGACCGCGCCGCGGCCAGACAGTCCCCGCCCCCCGAGCCCGCCCCCCGAGCCCGCCCGAGCCCGCCCCCGACTCGCTGACTGGCACCTCCCCCCTGCGCCCAATCGCAGCTCGGCTCCGGCGCTCCGACCCGGCGCTGAGCGACGCGGTCTCGGCCAATCGCAGTGCCGCTCCAGCGCCGACTGACGCGGCCGCCGACGAATGGCCGCTGAGTGACGGGCGGCCTCCGTGACGTAATAAGCGGTGGGTGGGGAGGGATTGGACCAATCAATCACGCAGGATCCGCCTCCCACCCCCCAACTCTTTGCTGTAATTGGAGGAGAGTAACGCCGGAGGCGTTACTCTCCTCCAATTACAGCAAAGAGTTGGGGGGTGGGAGCTGTGGACAGTACTGTTGACAGATTGGGCGTTTTTTTTCCGCTGCAACTGTGCGTGAAACCGCGGCTTTGGGCGGCTGCTTCATTTCTTCCCATTTTGAATTGAAACCCGCAAAACTTTTATAAAAATTTTTTTTTAAAAATGTATTTAAACCCATCCCCCCCCCCACCACCCCCACCACCCCCACCCCTCCACCGGCGGCCCCTTCCCCCCGATTCCCACCCCCCCCCCCAAAAAAAAAGAGAGAGGCGCTTGACCCGGATCGGTCCCACTCGCCTCGGCAAACGCGTGCTGTTGGGCTACTTTTGGGCTACTCTCGGGTTGGCTTTGGGCTACTAATGGGTTTTCCAGGGATTTTCTGGGGGGAATATGTATATATGTGTGTTTATATATATATTTATATATCTATGCGTATAAATAAAAGTGTTCTTGGGGACGGCCGGTTGCCAACTGCAACTGAGACGTTCTCCTCAAGTGATTTATTTTGCCTTATTTTATTTTTATTCTTTTATGTTGCGTTTCCACTTGGATTTGAACCGCGGGTCTTCAACTGGGAGTGAATTGGAAAATAAAACGGGAGGGGGCTGGCGGGAGAAACTGCAAGCAGACAAGACATGGACGCTCCCTCCAATGCCAACGGAACAACTGCCTCTAATCTAAAGCTTTGGGTTTAATAATAATAATCCTAATAATAATCCTCGCGTTTGATAGAGCGCTTTTCACGTCGGGAGGACGTCCCAAAGCGCTTCACAGAACGCACCGTGAAGTGAATTGACTGTATATTTGTGGGCGAACGCGGCAGCCAATTGCGCACAGCAATGCCCCACAAACAGTGGTAGATTGAAAATGACCAATTATTTTATTATTGTTATTAACCAGGCACTTTGGAAAGAGAAAGTGGTGGTGGGGGTTAGGGGGTGGGTCTGGGAGAGAGAGAAAGGTTTAGTTACAAAGAGAGAGCATTCTGATCCCCTTTCAGTTCATCGCCTTTCTGCCGACTTATATTTTTTTAAGATGATATTTTTGTGGAGTCCTGTAGCTCAGCGGTTAAGAGCGCTCGCTCGCTTTGCAAGCGAGAGACCCGGGCTTGATTCCCGGCAGGGGGCGAAACCTTGGGCAAGTTCCCTTAGTCCACACGCCTGATAATAATCCCTCAAGAAAATCAAACAGTAATAAATTGGTCGCTTCGTGCCACGACTGTTTGTGGGACGCTGCTGTGCGCAATTGGCTTCCGCATTTCGCCCACAAATATACAGTCAATTCACTTTACAGTCTATTCTGTGAAGCGCTTTGAGACGTCCAGAAGACTTGAAAAGGGCTATATCAAATGCAAGGATGATTATTATAATTAAATAAAGTAGAATTTTATAGCATGAGTTATTCGTGGCTATTTGTGGGATATTGTTAGGCACAATTTGCCCGGTGTGTTTTACGTACAGATGCACAATCACGAGATATTATTTAAAATCCTGTGAATTTCTTTGAGATGTTTCAACACTTGCTCACATTTGGTGTGTTGGAGAGTGAGTAAACACCAAATGATGTAGGTTAGATAAACCACCATCAAATAGTGGGAAGGAGATAGAGGAGAAAATCTGCAAGCAGATTTCAGAAAGATGTAAAAACAATAGAAGAGTGATAATGACTTTATTATTCGAACATAGACTGGGAAGCAAACTGTGTAAAGGGTACGGAGGGGGAAGAATTCATAAAATGTGTACAGGGGAACTTTCAATATCAGTATGTTGCCAGCCAAACCAGGAAGGAAGCAGGGCTGGATCTGAAGTGGGGCAAGTGGAGCGGGTTTCAGTGGGAGAGCATCTGGATAATAGTGATGACAACATCGTTAGGTTTTGAGTAGTTATGGAAAGAGACAAGGAACAATCAAAGGTGAAGATACTCAACTGGAAGAAGGCTAATTTCAGTGTGTTGAAAAAGGATCTGGCCCAGGTAGATTGGAAACAAAGATTGGTTAGGGTACAGACCAAACATGTTCCCATGAATAATAATCCTTATATTTGATATAGTGCCTTTCACATCACGAGGACATCCCAAAGCACTTCACAGGATTAACTGTAAAGTGCAGTGACTTTTTTGTGTGAGTGAACCCGGCCAATTTGCACACGGTATTGTCCCACAAACAGACATGATGTAAATGACCAATATTATTTGGGGGATTGTTGGCCGGGTCACAGAGAGAAAATCCCCTTTTTGAATAGCTCCATGGGATCTTTAACGTTCACCTGAATAGGCAGACGGGACCTTGGTTTAACATCTAATCTGTTATTCAAATGTGAGGATTATTATACTATATTGGAACTCTTCACAATTAATTAGATATTACAAAGAGGGTTAATGTACTGCAGGGAGCAGCTTTGGGCTATAGGGCTTTTGCTCTGATTTCCTATGTTCTCAGATTGCCTTTGATCTTGATGGCAGTTCATGAATATTTAGGAGTTGATATGCTGATTTTTAAAAAAATCTGAAATTTGCAGATAAAAGTGGGAGGAAATACATGTACATACACTGCATATTTGAAAAACAGATAAAAAAAAGTGTTTTCATTGAGGGCACTGTGAAATCATATACCTCAAGAGTTTACAAAAGATTATTCCCTAGTTGGGAAATCAGTAACTAGGGGGTATAAACTCAAAATGTAAGCCTTATGGGGAGATTAGAAGAAACTTTATTATAGAGAGCATGTTACATCATGGAATGCTCTGCTCTCTGCTCCTACAATTCCACCATGTGTGGTGGACACACTTTGTCTCTCACCCTTCTGATTTGATGTTAAACCGAGGCCCTGTCAGTCTGGTCAGGTGGACGTTAAAGATCCTGTGGTACTGTTCAAAAAGGGAAGGAGGATTCTCCCGGTGTCCTGGCGAACAATTCATCAAATCAAATAACTTGTTTATTCACTTCATGTCTGTTTGTGGGACATTGTTGTGCGCAATATTGGCTGCTGCATTCGCCCACAAAACACACAGTCACTTTATAGTACTGTATATCATGTGAAGCACTTTGGGAAATTCTCATGATGTGTAAGGATTGTTATTATTATTATTATCTATCTCTTCAACTGCGCTTTTGATCAATGCTTTGATCTCTCTTTTCTCTGCTCAGTCCTCACGGTTATATTAGTCAATATAATGAGATGTTTATTCTTCTTGAAAGATGTTATTCAAGTGCACTATGAGGTACTATAAAATGTACTATAAAAATGCAAATTCTTGTTGAGACACTTACTGATTCCACAGTTAATCAGGAAAAAATTCACGACAATCCTTCATCTTCATGTGTGTAGGTGGGTGGGAGGGGTATTGTAATGAAAATCTTGAGTATTATGATCCAGCCTCTCAGTGGTTTATAGGCCTTGATTTGCAAATACAGTTGACTTTTATAGGGCAGTCAATAGTTTCAGTCCCACTGTATAACCCTGTGTTGGTTCCTTTACATTCAATGCAGTGTCCGTGTCAAGCTAAACAGCCTGTGATTCCCAGCCTAGCCTTCTCTTTTGACATCACATCGGCACTTTTCTGTTTTCCCCTGCTATCTCTCTTTCCCAGGAAGAAGGGAATTTTTAGCTGGATTATCTCACGATTCTTCATTCAGTCTGTCTGCTTCTCTCAGACATGTCCCATCAAGGGCGATCGCTTTATGAATCTTCAATTGCTAAGGTTTATTAATAATGGTTTCCTTGCTGACCTCTATTATAAAATGCCCTGTCAAATCCCCCGACAGCTCAGTTAGCGGATAAGAGATAACAGTGCAGCTCATCTGAATACTGATAAGAGCAAGTCATTTGAAATGTAGGCTTCTATTCAGTAACTCTTTGCCATCTCTCTGATTGGAGAGGAGATGCATGTTCCTTTGTGATATCCCTATCGAAATAATATCTGATTATTCTCAATGTGTTAAGTTTCACTTTGCTTTGTAATGTGCCTTTCTCAGATAACATTAATCCTTGTGGTTTTCTAACACCTTTAACAACAACAACAAAATTACATTTGTATAGCGCCTTTCATGTCTGGAGGATGTCCCAAGGCGCTGGAAAATCAGTGTTTCGGACCCGAGTTGGGGTTTAGGATCGGGGATGGCAGATGGCAGGGGAGGAAGGAGGGTGACCAAAGGCACGGTCGAAGAGGAGGGTCTTGAGATGGGTC